CGAGCACAAAGGAATGCGTTCAAGTAGGCGAGATCCAATTTGTCGACGTTCGATCGTTCGGATGTACGGCCGGGGATCGACGCGGACGAGCGTTTTCGTACGTCGAACGACGAACGAATAAACAACGAAGCGTGTTCGCGAATTCGCGCGCGGCATCGCGCGTTCATTCGCGATCGTTCGCGACCAGGCGTAGGCGCGACTCGATGGGTCGTTGCGGCTGAAAAGAATACCTGAAGACAACTTAGGCGACTCGGGAGACAGTAAGGCCGGATATAAGTTCCGGTTGCAAAAGTCTGTGTCGTTGCAGCAGGTCCTGGACCGATAGATACCCGGCTTACCGTTGCAGTACAACGGCGATTCCGGCGGTAGCCACTGGCTTCGGTTGAAACACCTTTCGCAACATCGGAATCATTTTTATTTCATCTTTCTTACCGATTCGTCGGATCGCGCGGTCACGCGGTTGGACGGTTATCGCGCTTTCTATCGCGTGCTAGACGCTTCGTCTACCCGCAAGTTTCGCTAATAGTTTCTTGGAAGATGCTTCGAAAGCGGCAACAATTTCGTTCGGAATTCAACGAACGTTGCGTAACAACCTCTTCCGAAGCCGTTGTTTAAAAGAAAATTATCGAGCTCCTTGCACGTACGGCACGATGATCGAACATTTTGGAACAGGCTTCCCCGGTAAGTAAAGCGTTAATCCGCACTCTAGGCTAGAGCGCTATAATTTAAACGGACTTCGGAGGTTTTTGTACAAAGCTTTCTTATCGCTGGTCTCCCGTGTTTACTAGTTTCTAGTTGTCTTGAACTTTTTTAGCAAAAGATAAAAACAGATCCGTTTGCTTCGCGTGCAAAAAAGAACGGCGAAAAATTCGATCGTTTTCCAATTGCTGTAACTGGTTTAGCTTTTGAGAATCGAAGGTTTGATTTTGAATTTCGAATCGTCGGAATCCAGCGGTTTAGAAGACTGAAAAGGCTCGGTATCGCACTAAATTGTTCGCCCGAGGGAAAAAGCGATACCGAACGCGATCGTTCGATGGCAAGAAATTCTCGTGCGCCGCTTTCGCGTCTCGACCTCGACCAATCAAATAATCTCGGCCACGCTATTTTCGAGACGATCTCCGGCTGAATTATCCAAATTATCCGTCTGGGGCGTTAAACATTTAAGCTCCATCCGGACGTCTGCGACCTCGGACCGTCGGCGTATCGTCTCTCGGTCGATTTTCTTCGATTTCGTCGTCGACGGTGTTCCATCGACGATCCTCGAGAATTTTTCAAAGAAATTACACCGATCGAACCGATCGAAGAAACGAACCGAACGAAGAGGAAGACGTATCGAAAGAAATCGATAAGCAAAATCGTGAACGATCCTAAGGAGTGAAAAAGGTTCGCCGTTGGAGCGTCGATCGAAGACAACCGATATTACAGCGGATACAACGCGTAGGAACCGTTGTTTTCCGACTGTTTCGGGACTGTTTCTCTTACTTTTGGCTACCCCCACGCGTTTACTAGAAAGTACTCGATCATTTTCAAAAATCAATCGGACGAGCGAAAGAATACTGGGAATAATGGAAATACTGGGAATGGAAGATCGATTGGTCGCGTCGCAGTCGCAGGTGAGAAATCTGGATAATTCGGCGTCGCGAAGCGTTGCCAACGCGACCACCGGCCGACAACAATAATAATTCGTTTCCGTCGAAGCTGCCGAACCAGGCGATAATCGTGCCCCGCAGGGCCAACTGGAAAAAAGCGGCTAAAACGTTCCTAGAAACTACAACGGGGGAATCGATCGGTAACGGTAACGGTAACGGTAACGGTAACGGTAACGGTAACGGTAACGGTAACGGTAAC